CCGTATTTAAGTGTTAGGCACATGACGAAAACTCAAAATTCCACATGGCCGGTTTATTGGTCTGGTGCAAACCTAAGACCGACTACCAGAATGTGGTGGTTTTATCCACTGTGCCATTGGTGGGCACTAAAGACAGGTGTAATTTTCCTAGACTAACATCTGGAAGACTAAGTTTTGAGACTCTTACGGTTAGCTGATTGTCGAATCCATAAAGACGAGACAATAACTCTTGTAAAATTTTGTATTCAAAACAATTATTTGTCTCACCAAAGTACGTTTAGTCATTATAATTAGAAATTTGTCTAATGAACAAGGTGATTAGACAATTTAATATGTAATACAAAAATTTGTAGGATAAACAAAAATAAATTTTAAATTCGGTCTTAATAATTGGAATTTAAACGCACAATTAAATGATAAAATAATAGACAATTATGCCACAAATGCATAAAAAGTTTTCTTTGCTGCCAATTAATCATGTTAAGTGAATGTAACAGTAAACAAAGACATTATTAAATACATAACTTGTGATTTATGTAACTTTAAAGTGGTTAATTATGTATTTTTTACTTTAAAACTATTTGTATTTTAATAAGAATTAAATTCCACTAGTTTATTTTGATGAAGCAGGTTGTAATGATGGAAAAATGTTTGTATTTTCTGCTTTTTTGGGGTGAAAATTTAGTATTTTAACATTAGTATGCTACGTGCTCAAGACAGGACTATCATTGCAATGTAACAAAGTATCGCTTCACTAATTAGTATCTGTTGTTACGTGAAGAGGACTATTTGTTATAGATGACACTCACTCGTGTCCCTGGCATTAATGAGAATCATAGAGTTGTTTATTATAAAGGAAGCTTGTATCTGCTCAAGTTAGTACTTGGAGTCACCTCCTAGACGTACTTGAATGATCTTATTTTATATATGTTAGCGAATTGTGGTCAATGATGACATGAAGATATTGAAAAAGTTCTGAGATATTTCTGTTGAAAAAATTGCCTATTTTTCTGTATAAAAACAATAACGAGAGGACCTATCCGTTCGTTGAACCGCAACTCTTTCCTCGGTACTCCATTCTGATATTGTTTATTATCGACTGAGCTAACCAGCTGTAAAATCTGATTTGATTATCGGAATTGATAAAATGCAAATTAATGTAAGTGTAATCGGCACGAAAAATTTTTTACAGTGGCTAAAATAAATATGAGGCTGCAGAATTGTTTCTTCTTGGGTTAGTTGCCAGAAATCCGACTTGCGGTGGAGGCAAGTCCGATTCTGTTGTGGGTTGGACTAACTCGTAATGAATAAATTATGAGCAATTATGTAGTTTCCTCATCAATCAGTTACTCTATAGCTTATTAAAATAGGTTTCCGGAGACTTAATTATTAGCGTAATCCTCTGACAATCCTTTTCATATCTTGCTTTCTCATCTCTTCAATGGTGGTACGTTCGACAGATGTCGCAAGCAGATAAAAGATGTCTGTGTAAAATTGCGGAAAAATAAAATTAATTAGCCAAGTTGTTTGAAAATATAATTTCTTGTTATATTTTTATCATAACTAGTAAATCGAGGGTTGTACAGAAACCCTCATACCACTGTGTAATCAAACGTCTTTACATACCCGATACGATTAAAGCTATCCATGAAAGATGGCACTTAACGCCTAACTCTAATGCCAAACTGTCTATCAAATTATTAGTATTATAGTCGTTTCTAGCCCGATAATATTCGACTTTGATAGATGGATACCACTGTGTATTTATTCTGTGGGTTTTGCACAACACACTACAAGTTATTTGCTTTCAAAGCTTGGATTAGAAGAGCACGCACCTGCTGTCTGACATTGTTGATGGGTGGCAAGAGCTCTGCTACATTAAAACACTTGGGAAGCATCTCAGTTATCATCCTAGGATCGTACAAATGCTCATTGACAATTTCTGGAACGTCCCAGCCATAGATTGATGCGATGCTACCGAGTGAAGTGGACTATAGAGCAGATTGAGTGCGATCTTCCCCTCGGTAATATATTTTGAAAGCTAAGAACAGGAGAATATTGTACAAGAGGAATCCTATGGTCTATAAATGCCTGTGAATGGCATTTAATAACACAAAATCTGAAGGAATGACAGAAAATTTATTAAATTCCAAGATGATTTTCTTCTACAAGCCAGTTTTTAGTAATGCTTTTTGATCAAAACCTTGCAAACTAATACAAGAATATTTTCTTGTTTGAAATCTTTCACACAGATTGTTTCATTATTTAAAAATATAACTTGTATGGCCGTGTTATGAAACATAAGCTTCGTCGTTTCGTGGTTCTCACGTGTTGCCATTTCCACCGAACAATGAACAGTAAATAGAAGTTTTTTGTATTGTCGTTAGGGTATTGTTTTGTTACATTTATAACTAGGATCCTTGAATTCTGTTGTATTAATAGCACATTGTACTCCATATGATATCGTCATTTGTGATCGTTAATTGTAACTCAGTCAACACTACAATAAACTTTTTCTCCGATATCTGAATGTTTTTCCACTGAGTGAGAATTTGATTTCTTGTTTTTATGTCATACTTCGTCGCCAAAGAAAGTTGCCATTTTAAATTAAGTATTTTTAATTAGTCTCTCAATAGTTAATGTGCAGGAAGAATTTATCACCATCTAAAATAGTGCTGTAGATTAACAATTTCTATCTATTATTCTAGTAAATAAAGCATTAGTTCTTCCTCGATTTAGTTTATTATCGTCTGTTCTAAATTTGGCTTCTGGTAATGGAGTTAAATTGCAGTAAATATAGACATTTTGACATTGGAATGTGACTTAATATCTAAATATTCGGCCGTTGCCTGTGATTATTTTATGAACTTAGATAATCACCTATTAAACCAGGTATCAAGATAACGTAAAAGTTGGCAGCACTGCCAAAGAAATTAAATTTAATTCAGTTAGCTGCATTTTTAGTTAAGTGCAGTCTTGCATGTATTTATGCCTTTATGCTTAATTAAACACACACGTGTTACCGTAATACTTAACACAATGACATTGTCTCTCGAGACATTTCAAATGAAAAGTTTTCGGTAAAAATATACTACGGGTGCATGCTGCTTGATGACAAATTGCATATACGAGAGAGGTCCTGTAATATTATGGGGCCAAAAAGTTTGTAGCTGCCTGTATGTTTTCTACATTTAAATGTATGCCACGAAGCTCACTTAATGACGTATTTCTTGTAACGTATCCCTGTCGTTAAGTGGCACGTGCGGGTAATTAAATACTCTCAATGTACTAATGTAAAATTTATTTTACAGTTTGCAGTTTTCAATTAACAAAATTGATTGTTAAGACGTTAGATCTGCCATAAAAGAAATTTTTTATAGAGTAAAAGGAAAGTGGGGAGAAGGAAGAGGTTTCGACCTGTTATTAGAGTTAGATCCGATCGTTGACGGTTCTCTTTTAATGACTGTATGGGTTGGATTTTTTTTTAAAAATACAATTAACAGTTGCCAATATTCTACAGGATGGGTTAAAGGTTTTTTTTCCTGAATGTGCGGGACAGTCGAAAATTTGCTTAACTGAAAATCCATCAGAAATTGAAAGAATGGAAGAAACTTCAAAAATGGCATTTAAATTATGCTTTATACTGTTATATTTACGATCCATATTAAAATTTTAAAGTAAATCTATTAAGAATTCAGTTCTGCTTTGGTATGTTGACATATTTTTTTGAGGAAGAAGCATAAACTTTAAATAGAGGTTTGCGTACATCAAAAACTTTATATAGATCTTGTCTTTCGTAACCTTTCCCCTAAGTTTTTTAAAAAAAATTATCAAACTTTGTTCTCCTTGTTCCCAAATACTATTTGGGACGAGTTCGGCAGTCTTGTTATTTTTTTCTTTAACCCCTTTCATAGAGAAAGGGGTTAAAGAAAAATTTCTGTCGAGTTACGTTCACCTCCGTCGACCGAAATTTATTTTAAGTGATTTAACTTATGAAAGATTTCTGTTATTCATAATGAATAAAGGGATGTCTATAACCTGTATGAAGCTTCATTTTTTTTCTCCTCCCCTCTTCTGTGTCAGAAACTTCCTGTAAGAGTTCGCGACATGAATAATGGGCTTGTTCGGGAGATTGTTCTGCTTTCAACGTAATTATACATATAATTTTATTAATGTGCAAAAAATTGGATTATTTTAAAATATACATACAATGAAAGCATTAAAATGTTTCAGCAAAGATTTGGATATTTAATTCATTTGTTCCTTGGTCGTTTTATGTACCGTAAATTGAGCTTTTGTAATGCCTCATTTATATTTCCAATAGTGCGAGAGTGGTTGAAAAATTACCATGCAGTTGAAAAGTTGTAATAAAATTGAAGTTGCAATGTTGCAGTTTCTCTTACAACATATGCCAAACGTGTCCTCCGGAGGCCCCAAAATTCAGGAAAGCGAGGGCTACAGGCCAAACAAGTTCAGAAACGAAGCTGGCCAAACAAGTGTTCCGAACATTGGAATGTCTGCGAGTGAACAGTAATGCCATCTACTGCAAAATGGAAATCTGGGACGCGCCTTGTGTGCAATGCCTTATATACAACTTTAATTAATGTCATTACAAGTTTCTCACTATGCAATAACTTTTTGGACACTGTGTATGGTCTGTTGCTGGATAGACTTGTGGCCATTTGTAAGACCAACGGGGTCGCATTAAGTATTGCCATTAAAGATCCATCCAAAGACTTGAGTATGATGTCGAAATTTATATTAGGAAATTTGTTATTTGTAATTAATTGGCTAACCTATACTCTTTCAGGCAGCAGTAATTTCTTATTATTATGCTTGCAGTTTTCTTCTATATTCAAGTGAATTTCGATGCCTTAATTAATCATTAACAGTGTAAAATTGTATTGTTTTAGTTTAGTAAATGGTTTGCTTTAACGATGACAACATCCAAATTACCTTAACGAATGAGTTTTAAACACATTTTCTTTTTATTTATTTAGATTACCAAGTTATGTCACTGAATGAACGGCTTAAGGCACATCACTCTCCGGATCTGCGATCCGGGGTATTGGCTCGGAGTAAGTCGTGCGGGGTCCTGGTGTCACACCATCGCTCTCCCTCCGGAAGCGGTTCCCTAGTGCATTCCAGTTCGGATGGAAGCAGCAGTAACAATAGCAGCTTGTCACGTGCCAGTGGTAACCCATCATAGACATTTTTCTCTTCTTCCATGCATATAGATTTTAAGATTGATTCGAAACAAATGTTACAGGATCCGTTTTGGGTTCCAATTACAGCCCAAACACGACGCGCAGGCTCTTGCAAAATATCAGTGCCACGTGGAGTGGAAAGCCACCAAAGGTTCCACGTCCCGGAAGAAGTGCTATAATCTTTCAGGCGGTCTGTAAAGGCCTTAGGTAAGTCATTCTTTCTGCTTTGGTTTATCGAAAAAGACCGGCCAATTTTTTCTGAAATAAAGGTAACAAAACACCGTGCTTAGTATGCCCATCGATCCACTCAAGAAGAGGCTTTGTTTTATTATTTTATTTTTGCTTATGGATGCACAATTCAAATCTCAGAAAGGTGACTTGATGCCAAATGTTAGTTCACGGAGGAGGAGTTTGGCGATTCCTGTTGCTAAATGGCAGCCATTTTTCTTGGGAATATTCCTTTTTGAAATGTGTACAAAATAACCTCTGAACGGCAGCCATTTTTTACATTTTTGTCGTAGATGTTGGTTAGAGGTTTGACTGTATTTGTTTAATAACGAGCCGTCACATTTCATATTAGATTGCTATTGTTATAATGCAATACAGGAAGATACTAACATTATACATCATAAATTACATTATATTATGACATTATAGTATATTTATAACTTATTCAAATTATTATTTATTAATTAACATTAAACTCTTCCATATTTCATTATAAGAATGATAATGAGTTATTAAAAGTATAAATATGGTTGACATTTCTAGTTAATTTGTACGTAAATATTAAATGAAATTACGTTGTTTGATTTGTCTAGAGAGTGTATAAAAGTCACACACAGAGATATTGAGAAGTTCAAAGTCTCCGTCGAGGAATTATCGTCTGCCGGATCTTCTCAGGTAAAATACGATTATTTTTATTCATTTGAATATTTTGTTTGATAAATTAAAAATTGAATTTACTCTGCCAAACATAAAATGAAGTGTCAATAATTTAAAAACTTAAATTATGTAAGTAATTAGTTTGTATATGTTTTTTAAACTGGTAAATGTATTTACACGTACAACTTTTCCGTAAGGCAATTTATACTTTTAACCACTGCGCCTTTAATTTCTGAACGAAAACAAAACATTTGCCTCTCTTAATTGGAATTCACATTAATGTTTTTGTAATTTAACCTAGGTTTTAGTGCTCACCATTTTTGGAGTTAATGTTGATAATTGCATACGTACAATGGCATTTGAATCTGTTGTTGTTATAACAAATTACAATTTGTAAACTTGCGTTTACAAATTGAAGAGCCAAATAACAAGTTTTGATTTAAAACAAATTGGAAAAAAATGTATCATTTTGGTATTTGTTTCTTATTTCCCTAAGGAAATTCTAGAAAAGATTTTCAAGTACAGCTTTGCCATCAATTTTCCAGCATTTCTGGATGAAGTGAACTTGAAATTTTCATGATCCCAGCATTGTTTGGATGGATGTAGCACAGTTTACTAGGATTGACTGGATTTTAGTTATTGTCGATTATCGTTAGCTTATTTTTACTTACTTTTTATTCATGTTTATGAATACTAAAGAAAGGTGCAAGTGTCAGTGGTATTGAGCATAAATACCTGTCAATGCTTAATTTAAATTTCTAATAATCCACATAATCCTCGGTACTTTAGAGATACAGAAGGGATATTACAAGCTATATGATATGAACTATATGAACTGTCAAGTTATCATTACTTCACTTTGGTTGATGAGACAAAACTAGATTTGTATATGATGAGATGTAATGGACTATAAGATGCATTCCGATGTATAAAAAAAAGGCAAATTCTGTACATTCTATCTTGAATTTGTATTTTTTTTTTATTTTTATTCCTAAACAGTCATTTTGTGTGAAGATTGAAGCATTTAATTTGATAGCTTATACTGTTCGATTCCTTGTGGGTATTGTGTAATTAAGCTTATTTATTTGCCAAACTAATCAAATTGTCTTTTAAATATACTCATATTAGTGAAATAACGCTTGGCATTCGAATGTCTGGGCAATGCTTGCAATAATTCTTATGTCTTCGAATTATTCCCATAAAGTCCATTTTTAAATTTCTTTTTTGGGATTGCTCATTAGCACCCATCTTTTCCTGTCTTTAGCACTTTTATCTCTGCCAGGCTTCAGTTGGCCGGCTTCACTTTTTTCTGGCAATTGTGTCAAAATGTAAGTGGCCATAAGAGTTTCCCTCATTCTCCATGCCAATTGCTTGTCTCTTTTTGACAAGTTGCTTACACAATCTAATCTGGAGTAGATTGACACTTAAGTCCATTTCTTCTAGTTTGGATTGCTTTGAGGGTGTAATTTTACATGTGATCCATAGGTTTGTTTATATCCTGTTTCTTCCGGCATTCGGCATGTAGTTGTTTACCTTTCAGTGACAATGCAAGTAACATACTAGAATTTTATAATTGATGCTATCAAACAACATTCAGTTTTAAATAAAATTTCTTGTTTTATATCATCAACATATCAATATTTAGAAGACAGTTCTTTCAAATTTTTATTTATTATTTATATATACAATAGTTTGATATGCCGTACATGTAAATTGTAACGGAAATTTAGTTAAAGCTGATTCATTTCAGTTATCAAATTGTTATAAAATGATTTTGCTTCTAACGGCTAAAAAACACAAAAATTCCTTTTGGGTTTTACTTATTTAGAATTATCCATTGCTATAAACATGTAAAGATTTTTTTTTGATTTTCTCTAAAGTTTATAGTTTAAGCTGTTTCTCATGATTTCATTTTTATCATTATTGCATATACAAGATGGCACAGTTGAGCAAAGAATTAAGACGTCGATATGAAGCGAACGTAAATCTGATTAGTCGGGTTAACCGGTTGAGTATGTATGCTTTGCCGTAGGGATTACCATTTAAATGAAAACTTGCAACATTTCAAAACATCTTGGTGTGTTCGCATCCTTAAAGCTTTGATGCATCTCTGAGACGGACACATCAAACCTAAGTAGGCGAGCTGACAACATAAGTCCTGTCACCAAGATACACCCCTTATTGCATCTTTTGTAATCACTGTTCAGTATAAGTAGGGCCATTTTGGGGGTTTTATTCGTCTTATCCAATCTCCACACTGGTTTATCATAAAGATGTAGAGTGCTGCTCTGTGCCATCTTGCATATACTATATCCAACGTGACTAGTATAATATATAAAAAAGTTTTTATATTAAAATGTTTAAAAAATACTTTTATTATTTTATCTTTCATTATTCTGTCAACCTTATTGCCCTTTCCATGCTGCACCTCTTAACTTTTCTTCCAATCCCTTGGTAGTATCAGGGCAGAATCTATGACTTGGAGAAGGTAAGTCAAACTGTCATCCCTTTTTCCTAGCATCCTGCATGCCACTTTTATTTTATACCAAATTTTATATGCATGTTCTACTGTAAAATAACGATATTAATGAATAAACTTCTGTAAATAACCCTATGAACAAAATTAAAACTTGCATCATATTTTCAATTCCTTCCATTTCTTAACAAATATTTTCACTTAACTTTGATAATTCATGCATAATTTTATGTATGCTACGATGATTCAAATGCTTCTACCTCTCCAACAATATGTAAAATGTCCTTGTGCGTTTGCTAAGGTCTTAATTTATGTCTTGTAATTAATTTTTTATAACCTGCGGCGATAAAATTTACTGTACGCAACATTTTCTCCATTCTTTTGCATTCAAATTTCAAATTATTAATTTTATTTTTGTTTCAAATGCTTATTTTACATTCCTATTTACACTAAATGATTGCGAATATGTTAAAAAATAACCAGGCCGCACTACTAAATGTACACGTGAAAGCCAACTGGGCAAATAATTCTCGTGCTCATCTCGAAGTCGAATGTGTTGCTTTGCGCATTAATTCCACTATTGTTAAGTTAATGTAATTTAATTTGCATTGCTTGAAAGACTGTTAAAAATGTTTTTAATGAGTTTTTATCGGCATTTATTTTAAATGCAATGCATGATATTTTAAAGAGCATGGCTGCTTATGACGGTAGATTATTTGGATTATATATATATGTTTCCATTGACAACATTCTCTAAGATACTGTTTGATTCATTACAGCAATTAAAGGCTGCCGAAAGATATTTAAAGAAGCTGGAATACCACTTGTCAAAGGTGAGATATTTTAATTGTTGTGGTTATTCTTAATTAAATACAACACACTAAAAAATGATTTTAATTACACGATACATTGAAGTCAAGGCAAATCTTTATATATGGGGTGAGTGGAAAGTAATTAGGCATAGAGAAATCACACTAAAATTTGTCTGCGTTTATATCAATCAATGGAATTTTTTAATTCTTGCATTGGTGGTGTGGGTGGTGACCAATAGAGGCTGCTTGCACAAAGACAAACAAGATGATCAACTGCTTATTTCTTTGGGAGTGGGTGCAAATTGCTGCAGTCTATGAAGTGTGGAAATCCATGCAGGGATGGTGACATACAGTGATGGGACATCATGCCACAATTCATCTGGAAACAATGAAAAATTATCATTCAAAGCTAAAGTGAGCCCAGGTTTTTGGTTGCAGATGTGCAGAGAAATGGTCATTCATACATGTCACAGTCTGAGGAAAACATGTAGGTGGATGGTACCAGTGCGTACATTGAATTTTATCATATTCATCTGTATTTTCATGTAATTAGGTACATGTCAAATAATTTTCATTATCATTGCATAAAAAATGTAGAAGTTATAGTAAAATTTCTTAATTTTGTAGTTATTTTCCACTCACTCCGTAGACCTGTAGAGATAAATTTAGTGCAGATGCGTACAATAAAGGTAAATTTTCAACTTTGCAAGCCATTCATTTCATTGAATCAGATTACCAGATAACTTCTTTAGTATCTTGTAGAAACATATGTCTTTTTATAGACAATATTCATTAATAACTTCATTACTGACATATGAACATTATTGTGTTGGAGTAAATGGTATCTGAGACAGTTTTTATTGGTGCCAGATTTGTTAGCAGACTACTCCACAAGAAATACGGTTTGCAAATACAGAAGAGCTGCAGTGACAAAACAAGAAGAAAGAAACGTTTGAGATGTAGGGGACAGACTGATCACAAGCAATGACAGTTGTCGTCAATAGCTTGGATCTTGTTCACAGAAATCTACTGATGATGCAACATATGAATATACGAAGGGAGGTACTATCCTAAAAAGAGATACAAAAAAATTTTGTTGTTTGTAAAACTTTATGGTACTAAATAAATACAGTATAGAGGTAGAAGGGGAAGAAGAGTAAGATTCAAACATGTAGCATAATTTAGAAGTGTCTTCTGAAGTTGAAGTTTGTGTACCTGTGCTTTTGCAGGTGAAATTTGTAGGCAAATCATGTAGGTGTATGGACTAAATGAATCTGTGTAGTTACAAAACAGCACCAGATGTTTGAAAACAAGTCAATGTCAGTAAGGGAAGACATAAGTGGGCTGAGGAAGTGGACTAAGATGGCAATTGTTGATACGGAAGATTAAGGAGATATTAATACCAGGCAGGCAGGAGGAAGGAAGTTCTTGCCCTCGCTGTGTAAGAACTTGTTGATAATGCCAGGGATACAGACTCCATTTCTGTGTTTCCTCTATCCCATCTTCCTTCCTTACCAACAGTTTTCACTATCCATACTCAAAGGTGGCTTGCTAACCAAGTCAAAAATGTTAGTGTTCTTTAAACTTTGACTACTGTTAAATGTGCAGTGATTAATTCAGTGGAGTAATGATAGTAGCTACTTCATTCTAATTAATAAATCATCTTATACTTAACTTATTAATGTCAATATTCATATACCATATTTTGTAGGTTAAATTTTAATTTGTTGTTCTTAACATTGCAGATTGAAGAGCTAAAAGAACAGTATGACGTACAACAGAAAATGAGTGATGGTATGTGTTGTTATAACTGTTTGATCCTAATTTATAATTAAAAAGATGCATGACAACTTTGCAAAATCACGTCTTAATGGAAATGCTAGGAATTTATTATCTTGATGGAAAATTTTAGGTGTCAGGACGATGGCACAGGCATTTGTTCTCTCTCCGGGAAAGGAACGGGAGACTGCATTAAACAGCGTACGTTCGGGGTACAAAGAATGTGTCGACACATTATGCAGACTGGAAGCAGAGTTGGAAAATATGATAGGGACATTGTTGTTTCAAATAAAAGGTATCGTTTGTATATTCTTTTATAGTACAATGCATAAGACACAAATATTGTATTTTACTCATATTTCTTACCTAACATCTTTTAAAATTTCCCAGGAATACAAGGATTTGCAAGGTTATGTGCTGGAGACGTGTTTACAATAACTATAAAACATGGGGAACAGAAATGGAAGACCAGAGGAAAAATTCAGAAGCACGGCAAACAATCATGGGATAACCATCAAGTTATGTTTAAGGCTCTTCTTGGTGATGTTTTGTACATAAAGGTAATGACCATTCACATTTATTCAAATATAAATGTAATACAAATGTTGTCGTATTTTAAGTTTAAAACTTTCAGGCTGTCGAAGTGAGAACTTTAGGAAAAAGCATTTTGCTTGGTAACAAATACTGCGAAACCAAAGATCTCTTTAGTGCGCATCCACAGTTGATGACCATTAACCTTAATCCTAGTGGATCGTTAAAATTAAACCTTATCGTCACTTGGAAGTGAGTAACTCTATTTCTTTTGTGATTCAATGTATCATTTCATTGTGACATGCATAATTAAAATTAAAATTTTAGTCCCCTACATTGGTATCAAGATGAACAGTCATCAAAACCAGTACCACCTCTATTAGCTATTTTCAATTCTCCTTCAATGCGATGGCATACAAACATGCACCCACCCATCCAAGAAACATCCCCTCCTTCTCCTTCAGAAAATCAATTTTTGGTGAAGAGTGTAAGAAAATGTTTTGAGTTAATTTTTCTCATAAATATACAGAATTACACATAAATTTTCCTTTTTTCAGGAAACTCTGGATAACAAAAAATTGCTCTACACTCCAGACAGTGAGAAAAAGGTGGAATTCAGTAGCGGCAGTAGTACCACCAGTGCCTCTGCTCATAGTTCGGTTTTAACAAGTCCAGACTTAGAAGTGATGCCGACAAATGCATTAAGATGTTCTCCAAAGATACATGGTAGTGTGGAAGCTATGGAAAACCATAACATGTTGGTGGAGGAAACATCGCAGAAGTGGCCAACGACGAAGAGCGGTGATAGTTCAGAATGTTGCAGCATAGACTTTGGCAATTCTTCTCGGACTTCCGAATTAGAAAGCGCGACCTTACAGGAAGTTGTGCATGTACTTTCATCTTCTCTGGAAGATATTCAAGGGCAGTATCCAGAGCTGAATCAATTGGAACAATATATGGAAGAATTGGAGAGGATACTAAGAGTGAGTGTAGTATTTGGGTAAAGTACTAATCATATCAGATAACAATTAACCAATAAGTTCAATTTATTTTTAAATTAGAGTACTAGCAGAAGAGGATCTCTCGGTTCAAGCATCAGCATATCAGTACAAAGTGCCTTGGGTTGTTTCGACTTCCTAAACTCGGCTACGGATAGTGAAGATGCCGAATTTGAGAACGAGAGGTAGAAAATTCTCACAGATGATCATTCATTCTGTGCCCTTGTTGTCCTTTATAACATTGTGAATTTCACAAGTTTGCATAATATTCTCAGAAATGGCATCATAATGTCTCATAATCTTTAATTTCATTCTTAAGTTGCTCTTTTGTGTATTATATTGTTAAATTCTGAGATGTTTGTATATTGAAGATCCTAAACTTCATATACCCTGTATTACTTCTTGTTTTGAATTTATCTTACAAAATTGACGTTTCAGTGGAAGGACAGAAGACGAGAAAATACTGGATCCGGAGCTGACAGCAAAGACGTCGGACTCTGGAATCGCATCATTGGCGAGGCAGTTGAAAACGGACGACAGCCAATGCAGCAGCAATCCTAGTTTTGGTCTGAGCCCTCAGCCGCCGTCGACTGGATCAGACATGTTAGATTTATTACTAATTTCGCACTTAGTATATTGCCAAAGATTAATAGAAGTGGGTGGATTTTAACTCTGGTTTGCAGCAACATGACTGGACTATATTAAATTAATTTGCATTGCTTGCAGAATCTCGGATCATATGGACCGCTGAAGTGCCGTGAAATCTATTCGTTGGATAAATTAAAGAAACAGTCGGTGATTATTGGAAAGTTGTTGGAGTTAATTGCAGCTAACGAGGAAGGAAGAAGCATTAGTGGATTAAGCGTGTTAGAGAATGAAGAAATGAGGCAGATTTGGGAACAGTTTAGTGGAGGTGGCGAGTCACTGTGCGTAACAGTTGAGCACGTTTTGCTTCCACTAGAACACATCGTGCAGTCTTCGTTAAATAATGCTCCACACTACATTGTATCTGAAGTTTCCAGGTTACTAATATGCCGTTTATTAGACACAAGCAAATTTGATTCCGACAAAGTGATCACAGTTTTTCACATTCAACAATACTTTGGAAAAAGAAAATCCATCATAAATCACATTCAGGACATCGCCGATGAAGTTAACATTCTGGAAATTCTGCAATCCAGAGATCCAGATCAGATCAAACAAATACTCTCTGCACTCCGTAAGTGCGTACCTGTCAGCGAAGTGTTATTTTCAATTTCTCAATTGCTGATCGGTCACAATTCAGTGATAACCAGACTTGCAGAATCATATTTAAAAGATGCTTCCAGAAGATCTCTAAGAGAAGAGATGTTAACAGTGTTCTTAGAAGGATTAGAAAGAGAACACGATGCAATACGTCAGTCTTCCTGCGCAGCACTCTCCGTTTTGGAGGCTACCGAATACATGGAGCAGCTGGTGTACCTAACCTATGCAGACAAGAATTTTAGAGTTCGACAGCAGGCGAGAGATGCCCTGTTATCATTTGGAGAAGAAGGACGAAAGGCCTACGAAGAATCGCAGCTGTTCACGCACGGCTTTCAAAGCCTCAATTTTCTGTTGTGAAAAAGGGCGCTTCAAAAAGCTCCAACGATCTAACATCTCCGTAATTCTTTTATATATTTCGAGGAGACGTTAAAAAATCAGTTTGTACAGAATTTGTTGAAGGACGACAGCAAAGCCCAAGTGTATTATTTAAAATACTTTTGTCCGACGGACGACGGATCTATTATCGACAACGAGAGCGGGATGTATCGCCTCCTTCTGTTAACATATATTTTTCGTTACCGAGTCGGCAACAGAAGCTTGTATTCACGTTAGTGATTTATTCTAAAGAAGATATTTTGCCTAACTTTATATGAATTAACGAATTATGAATCACTTAAAAGAAAAAAATATATATACACAAGATTGCCAATTATATTTTGTGTCTATCAGGCAGCATAATTTTTGTATAGTGTACATATAATTATTATGTAATAATTGTTAATGTGTTGTTGTAACCACTGCATGTGAGAAGCGTTTACGAGATATATTTTGATTTTTTTCCCCCCTATAATAATAATCGCCGTTCCTTAAACTATGTGCAATATTACATGTTAAATTACTAGATGTTTGCAGAGGCCTCATCTCGAAAGAAATCGCAAAACCAAAAGGTACCCTACGTCTTTATCATATCAATATTTGCCAACGTTGCAGATGCTAAATATTTTTCTCTTGCCAAGAGCTAGTATTTATTTGTTTAGCAGCAATAACGTTGTTTGTAACATAGTAAAACATTTAAAGACACCGAAATGAAATTAACATTGTTTCAGTTTATGAAAGGATATTTAAAAAAAAATAATATACATCTTTTTATATTCCTGTAAAATTTCACTTAATTTGCACATTTATAAAGAGTTTTTATCATGTGCAATATTTGCTTCATTAAATTTATGTATTCCTACGTGTTCAGACATGTTTGGTGCCATTTCGTTATTTCATATTCATTCGCTCTCGAACCACTTCCGCAATCGTCGGAACTTCGGCCATTCCGCCGAATCCCACGTCTCCGCAGGCCAGCTTCTTGGAGATACACGGAATCTCCTCATAGCCGAAACTCTTCAGCTTTTCCACGTGTTCTCGTGTAACGGGGTGGTCCCACATGTGCGTGTTCATTGCCGGACAGAAAAACAGAGGTTTCTTGGAATCCCAGGCCCTTACGATGCAGGTCAGAAGGTTGTCACAGATGCCACCGGCTAGTTTGGCCAAAGAGTTCGCATCCAGTGGCGCCACAACCATGATATCTGCCCACTTCCTTAGTTCGATGTGAAGGACTGGATCCGGAATTTTCTTCGAGGTCTTCCATTCGTCTTCGTCTCTGAAAACCGGAGCAATCTCTTTCAGTTCCTCCAACGAAAAGAAGTGTAAAGCATTTTCTGTTGCGACCACTTTAACTTCGACGTAGACATCTTCCGACTTTGGTTCCTGCAATAGTTGAACTAATTGTTTGGCTTTAATTGCTGCAACGCTTCCAGTGACTCCTAATAGAATGTGTACGCTTCGCTCCATACCTAGAGAGAAGAAATAATAACATATACATCAACCCAATTCAATTACTAATGGCAAACAAACTGCCAGATTATTTATTGGGCTGCAACATTATTAATTTGGCAGTTTGATATAAAGCAATTTGGCTGTACATGGCTGGTTAGGACACCATCTAACTAAAAAAAAAAAGTTTTTCTCACGATAATGGACTGGAGTAACCATTCACTAAAACAATTAACAACGCTAAATTATAACCCGACAATCAGTCCGTAGCGTGAAGAAAGATAATAAATCGTTAGGAAAAAATTTTGGGGTTAACGCTTCACCCCTGTTCACGCCAAACATGAGCGTGAAAATAGCACAACAAGCCTAGGAACACGTATGTGATTTTATGTCAACATTTTCCCCAAACTGTATAACTAAGTTAAAATAAATTTATTAAGCAACGAGTCACTCTCACTTATGTCAAATCACTGTAAGGGATGTATTTAATTGTAAACCTGGCAGCAATTGTATATAAGGCGCACTCCTTTAGAAGAGATAAGAGTTGGAGGATTTTTGGCTTTAAATGAAAAGAGAAATAAATTTCTCTTTAATCTAAAAGGGAAGGGGTGTAAGGAACCAAGTCCGAACGTTATTTTTATTTACTTTTATTTTGCTTATTATTCTATTTTTGTTTGGGGCTTATGTTTTGTTAGGACAAAGTTTCCTCACCATTCACCTTAGTAACTTAAAAATAGAAGAAAAACCAACTCACCGATGAAAGAAAAGCGCCATAGAAAAACTCGCGCACGTTTGCGCTTCCCGAGCGAAAAAAAAGTAAGTCCGCACCGAGAAAAGGGGGGGAGACCCCACAAGCACGAATTAGGGACTCGCTAAACCTTAAAGAATAAAAACGTCCCGAAAATTGTGAAAAAGAATAATGTAAAAGGTTAACGAGTAATTGTCGTAAATAGGCTGCCAGAGAAACGAAAAAAGTTTATTGTTAGCGTTAAGTATGTAAATGAGGAGAGTGATCTCATTCAGAATTGTGACGTCACCTCACACTATAAATTCCGAGTCTCAAGTGAAGATGACGAGGTGAATTCCTGATAGCAACGAGCTTTGGTGAGCTTCGTAGCAGTGAACGAGAGAGGTGTCCGATAGGATTAAATAGTTCCAAGGCGATTTTGAAGTTATTCGATTTATGGATCGACGATTATAGAAAGTCTTGAGAGTTTGAGGAAATAGGTTCCTAGTATATTGAGGTGACGATTAGGATCTTTAATTTATAAGAATTATTGTTTATAAGTTAATTCTTTGATTTTGTCGAATTCCAAAGGGGAATAGAATTAAGTTAGAAATAGATTGATTTGAGTTTGTCGGATTGATTCTTGTTGAATTTCATTGAATAAATTATTGTTTGATTTTTACTAAATACTGTATATAGTTTATTACTAGAAGTTTAATTAAATATTTGATTTTGTTATTGACAAACTTTGTCATTATTTAATTCGGTGCACGCTTAAAGTCCAGGCCTGGCACATTAACGCGAATCCGCGTAAAGTACCCATTAGGGAACGGCTATTTCCGGCACACAGTAGTGTCGATAATCGTTGGAAAGTCGGAAAAATAATATAGTACTTTACACTATAAACATAATGTGCAATAACTGAAAATGTCATCTGAACAGAAATCATAGATAATAAGCAATATGCTATAAAGCAAAGTATGAGAAAATCTTTAAATATTAATTTTTTACATGTAATTGTCACTTTAAAGTTATAACAAGTAAAAAACTTAAATATTTTTCTTTTTAACTGAAGCATTTTCCAATTAATCATAAAAATACTTATTTATATACTATATTTATGAAAAAATTTTTACAATTTTAATAATACATTACTTAAAATAAAAATAAATAGATAAAATGTTTTATTAAGTTTATTTCTTTTAAAAATAAACATTATTTTTACATATTCATATTGATCTATCAATAAAATTTAGATATGTATGATTTATCTTTCATTTGTAGTGAAAAGCAGTATCCCAACCAATATACAGTCATATCTTACAGAATATCTTTTGATATTTAATACTCAACTAATAATTAAACTTCTTAGAATACATCTCTCTCAGTGTAACATTTTTCAGGCAATATTTATACAGGAGAAATTATATTTATATTAATACAATACTTTTAACAGAACAATGTATGGGATACGTTTTAAGTTGCATTCCAGAAGGGCATTGATACACTTATAGTGGAACCCTGTTTATATGGCTCAAATGGGACCGGGCCCAATTTGGATGAGTGAAAATCTGCATAATCTGAAAAATTCATTAACAACATAAAATGTACATCTAAACTATGTTATCTATTTTATTTATTGCACATTATATATACTTTCACAACAATATTAACAGTATAGAGCAAAAGACATATGTATAGTACATACTGTATCAGTTTTTTATTTTCTATCAGCTGGTACAGTACATGTATAGTACATAAGTTTCCTACCATTTGTGTGGGGTAGAACTTCTCTTTATGACCTTTTTCAAGGTCAACCAGTAATTAGGCTTTGCATTCTATAGGGAAACCAAAGGACTAATTTGAACTAAAATAATTGTGGTACACTGTACTGTATTTATTTTTGTTACCAGATCCTCGGTTATAAAGTCACAGATGTTCAAAATTGTTATTGAGTCAAGTGAAAACAGTATTCTTACAGTTGCAATATTATACTCAGGCATGAATGTATTACTTAAAGTTAGTTCTTTGATTTTTTTCATATATATAGTATATAGGTTTTCCATACATCTCTCAATCTTATTCTGGATAAACAAGAAATCTGGATTAATGAGATCTGGATAAATGCAGTTCTACTGTTGTAATACAGTAGCTTTGAAAACAGCAACCAGAACACAAATTTCTCTCCCAGATGCTGTAAGACGTTTAGCCATAACATGGAATCAAGTTATGCCTGAGTCAATTAGAAACTGCTTCCGTCACACAAAATTCTCAGATGCAGCTGCAAGCTTGGACTCTGAGAAATCTGAAAGGTAAAAGATCAATACTGAAATTATCTCAAATACAAGAGAGATGCAGCAGTATATTCAAGTGTATATCATGATGATATAACAAGTGCAATAAACCGATGTCGACATCATAGCAGAAATACAAGAGAAAGATAGTCATCATGATGATACAGAAAATGGAAATGATAACTGTACAGAGATTGCAAATTTGAAACCTGTTCCTACATAAATGAAGAGATTGTAGTCTATATTTTTGAAGTGGCATTCTTCAAATTTTCCTCTCAAACAGAAGACATGACAATGCTACTCTGTCCAGTCTCCAGAGCAATTTGAACATACAGTAGTACCTCAGCATACAAAATTAATCCATTCCGAAACTGAGATCGTATCATGAAAATGTCGTAAGGTGAATCATTTTTCCCCATATGATTACATTTAAAACCAAATAATCCGTTACAACACAAAAAACACACTCAAATTAAAGCTAAGTAGTACATTGAAAAAAAATAACTATAGTA